AATAATATCACTGTATCTACCTGTTCATTTATAATAATATCACTGTATCTACCTGTTCATTTATAATAATATCACTGTACCTATCTGTTCATCTATAATATCACTGTACCTATCTGTTCATTTATAATAATATCACTGTACCTACCTGTTCATCTATAATAATATCACTGTACCTACCTGTTCATCTATAATAATATCACTGTACCTACCTGTTCATCTATAATAATATCACTGTACCTACCTGTTCATCTATAATAATATCACTGTACTTACCTGTTCATCTATAATAATATCACTGTACCTATCTGTTCATCTATAATAATATCACTGTACTTACCTGTTCATTTATAATATCACTGTACCTACCCGTTCATCTATAATATCACTGTACCTACTTGTTCATTTATAATAATATCACTGTATCTACCTGTTCAGCAACACGTGCCAGAACTCTGCAAGCCGGTTCAACTACCTCAGTGGTTTTGAAGTCCAGCTTTAGGCCCTTGTTGTGAGGAATTGCCTCGTGCAGCCACTCCTCCAGGGTGATGTCACTCGTCGCAGCGGGAGGATGAGCCATGATGGGTACAGGGAAGCGACTATTGGTCGACATGCTGATATCGGCCTCCAGCACCATTACTTGGGCTGTGAATGATAAGATAATCAGTGGCCACTTGATAGTGACCTAGCTTTCTCAGTATGTTTTTGCATATAAATATAACTTTAAAATATAAATTACCTAAAGGTTATATCGAACTCGTGGCAGAAGATGTCCTTCGTGTGTTACAAAAGTTATAGGGTCAGGCTCGTAAAAAGAAGAGTTCACAATGGCCTTGAAATGAGACAGCAAGCAGGATCAAAGATCCTTCCATCCAGAGACCATACAGTCACAGTGTTACCTGGTCACATGTTATCCTGTGTTGCTTATTAGTTAGCACTTTAATAAAGCAATGTTGGATTGATATCAGTTGTTCATCACGCAGCCAAGTAGGATCACAGAACTCTACCAACAAGAGTAGAAAGGCTACACGGGAGAAAAAAAAATAGTATTACCTCTGCTAGAGAGAGAGGAGGGGGGCAAACTTTAATAGAATGTATGAATATATGCATAGTTTGGCGAGTAGTTTTTGTGCACTTAAGTAACACTTGTATACATTTTGCCCGAATAGAGGAGAAAGGCTGACTATAAGATAATGAACGTGTGAAGCTCCACGCGCTGGATCTAATATAAATCAATAAAGCTAGAAGTGGGTCATATTAGCAGTTGATAATTTGTTTAATCGCTTTTGATTTGGGTAATATTACTTCACACTGTTGGCAGTTGATAATTTGTTAAATCGTTTTTGATTTGGGTCATATTGGTCCACACTGTTGGCAGTTGATAATTTGTTTAATCACTTTTGATTTGGGTAATATTACTTCACACTGTTGGCAGTTGATAATTTGTTAAATCGTTTTTGATTTGGGTCATATTGGTCCACACTGTTGGCAGTTGATAATTTGTTAAATCGCTTTTGATTTGGGTAATATTGCTCCACACTGTTGGCAGTTGATAATTTGTTTAATCGCTTTTGATTTGGGTAATATTGCTCCACACTGTTGGCAGTTGATAATTTGTTAAATCGTTTTTGATTTGGGCCATATTGGTCCACACTGTTGGCAGTTGATAATTTGTTTAATCGCTTTTGATTTGGGTAATATTATTCCACACTGTTGGCAGTTGATAATTTGTTTAATCGCTTTTGATTTGGATCATATTGCTCCACACTGTTGGCAGTTGATAATGTGTTAAATCGTTTTTGATTTGGGTCATATTGATCCACACTGTTGGCAATTGATAATTTGTTAAATCGTTTTTGATTTGGGTAATATTGCTCCACACTGATAGCAATTGATAATTTGTTTAATCACATTTTAATCGCATTTTGGATATGCATACAGAAACTAAAAAGAATTAAACTTCTAAGAAAAAATCTTAAGAGAAATTTATGTAACTTTGACTCTGTAGATGGTTTAATTACCTATTTAATGTCTTTCAAGTTATAAGACATTTATAAAAGCAGAACTTGAGACAGATTGTGGATGTTTCATCTCAAATGTTCCACGACTGCAGCCGATAATACACATATATATACAATAAAGGACCACAAGTATCAACTAAAACATTTCAGCCACCACGAATCAGTGCTATATAGATAATACTGACAAACTTCAATCATAAAACTTTTATACATCTTTAGGATTAGATGAAGTTTGTCAATATTAAATATAGTTTACTAATCCGTGATTCAACAAAAAGAACAAAATTCTGCCACCATAGATTACAACACTATAGGTAACTCTGACAAATGTTAATTAAAAATATCTACCATTACGGATTACTTCACTTTAAGCAACTGACAAACATCAACTAAAAATATCTACCACTGCGGATTACTTCACTTTAAGCAACTGACAAACATCAACTAAAAATATCTACCACTATGGATTACTTCACTTTAAGCAACCGACAAACATCAACTAAAAATATTTGCTACCACGAGTTACTTCACTTTAGGAACCTCTGACAAACTTCATCGAAAAATATCTGTCACTGCGGATTACTTTACTTTAAGTAAAACCGTCTACATTCAAGTAAAATACTTGTACATACATTTTAGATTAGTTGAAGTTTGTCGGAAGTGTTTTAGTTGAATAATGGATTAGTGCGCTGTAAGTAAACTGTAAAATTAGCTGCAAACTAATTCAGTGACTTCGTTGTAAATTAATTTCCCAGACATGCTTAGAAATTATTAAATTTTCATAGGTGGCACTGTTTCTATCTTTGAAAACTGTTAATAACAAGTGTACATTTTAAAGCAGCTTGAACTACGTAGCATGTTTCAGTAATCAGATTAATTTAGAAAGAACAACGAAACATGTTGACTGCAATAATAAATGAAAAACTTTATAATAAGTAACACAATAATTGCTTAAAATAAATACTCAGGAAAATACATATTTTTTAAGTATGACGAAAAAAACAGAACTGATATAAATTTTTGCTTATTTGTGGGATTCTCAGGAGTGAGTACACAGATTGTTCATTAGTTGTTCAGAAAATGTATTTTACTTGATTGATTAAACGTATCACAGTTTAGAGTAACAATTATCACTTTGTAAAATTACACCGTATCCTAGTTCTCAAACACGAACATTTGGTACAAAGATAACATTTAGCGGCATAAAAAATAAATAAGTAGTTTGTTTGTTTGTTTTTGAATTTCGCGCAAAGCTACACGAGGGCTATCTGCGCTAGCCGTCCGCAATTTAGCAGTGGGAAGAAGACTAGAGGGAAGGCAGCTAGTCATCACCACCCACCGCCAACTCTTGGGCTACTCTTTTACCAACGAATAGTGGGATTGACCGTCACATTATTACGCCCCCACGGCTGAAAGATGGAGCATGTTTGGTGTGACGGGGATTCGAACCCACGACCCTCAGATTGCAAGTCGAGTGCCTTAACCGTCTGCCATGCCGGGCCAAATAAGTAGAGAACCAGAATACTTTCCTGTGGCGGTATTGTGTTTTAATCATGAATTATCTAGCATCTGATAAATATATAAATTAATTGTGTAAACCCTCCTTTCCTCTCCTCTTCGTGCTGGGGCTAAATTACACATTCAACTAGCTAAATGACCACAGAAAACCATACAAATGTAAATTTTTCAATTATTGCATGAAAACACCTGCAGAATTGTTTGAACCACTGCAAAGAAAAACATACAGAATTATTTAATTCACTAAACAGAGAAACATACAAAATTACTTCAAATCATAACACAGAAACACATGTACAATTATCTTAAATCATAACACAGAAACACATGTACAATTATCTTAAATCATAACACAGAAACACATACAGTATTGTTTTACATCATAACACAAAAAACACATACATAATTGTTTTAAATCATAACACAGAAACGTACTCAAAATTGTTTAAACATCACATAGTAACAAGTACAGTATTGCTTAACACACTGCACAGAAACACAGATAGAATTGTTTGAATCATTACACAGACACACGTACAAATTTGTTTCAATCACTGACACAAACACATACAGAATCGTTCAAATCACTGCACAAAAACACATAAAATTATTTAAAATCAAAACACCTAAACATCCTGAATTGTTTAAATAAGTACCCAAAACACATACAGGTCTGTTTAAGAAAGATAACAGAAACATAAACAGAACTGTTTAAATTATTAAGCTAAAACACGTACAAAATTTATTAAAATCATAACAGAGAAACACACATGACTATTTACCTCACTGCACAGAAACACATTCAGAATTATTTAAAATAATAAATCAGAAATATATGCAGATTTGTGTAAAATCATAACACAGATATATCTAATGAATTGTTTAAATTATTACTCAGCAACACGTATAAATTGTTTATTTCGCTACAGAGAAACACGTAAAGTATCGTTATCTAACAGCAAAGACACACACGTAGAATTAGTTAAATATACGTAGAAACACTAATTCAAAATCATAAAACAGAAACATGTACAGGATTGCATAAAATCATAACACAAAATCACGTACGAAAACAATTATAATCAATAGCCAAAAACATATATAAAACTGTTGAACTCACTACGTACAAACACACTGAAAATGTTTAAATTATTTAACAGAAAGCATACATGTTTCAAATTAACACGTGTAACACAAAAACGTGTGTAAATTTTTTAGTCGATACATAGTAACATGAACAGAATTGTTTAAAATTAATACTCAGAAAAAAGTCAGATTTTTTTTTATCATTAGGCAGAAACACATAGAGAATTGTTTAAATTATAACTCAAAAACAGATACAGAACGGTTCAAATTACGTAGTAACAAACACAGAATTGTTTAGTTCAATGTAGAGAAACACATATAGAATCATTTAAATCATTACGTAGCAACACATATAGTAATGTTTAATTCACTGCACAATGCAGAAAAACACATGCAGAATTACTTAGAATATAAGAAACAACTACAATCGTTTAAAAGCTTAACACAGTAACATGTACATATTTGTTTAGAACCATAACATAGTTTAAAAGTAATACGTAGAAATGCTTACAGAATTTTAAAACTCTTACACAGAAACACATACAGCATTGTATAAAATCATATTAAAAAAACACGTACAGCGTTGTGTAAAATCATATGAAAGAAACAAGTACAGCATTATGTAAAATTACATAAGAGAAACACCTACAACATTGTGTAAAAGCATATCAGAGAAACACGTACAGCATTGTGTAAAATTCTATCAGAGAAACAAATACAGAATTGTTTAATTCATTATACAGCAGCATGTACAAACTGTTAAACTGACTACACAAAAACACATACATTTGTTTAAATTACTACTTATAAACACGTGCCAATTCATTAGTTAACTGTACAGAAAGATATACAAAATCGTTTAAAATCTTAGCACAGAAACACGTACAGAATCGTCTAACGCACTGTACAAAAACACAAAGAAATCGTTTAAAACCATAATTTAGAAACACATACAAACATTTTTATATTTATAACACAAAAACATACAGAACTGTTTAAAAGCATAACATACAAACATATAAAAATTCTTTTAACTTAAATCAGTACACAGAAACGCATAGAGAACTGTTTACATGATTATACAGAAATGCATACATGTTGGAATCATAACAGAAAAACACATACAGAATCATTTAATTTCTTGTGCAGAAATAAATATAGCACTGTTTAAAATCAATACATAGATACGCCTATAGAACTATTTAAATGATTGTTCTGAAACAAGTCCAGAATTATTTAAATTATCACACAGAAACAATATAGTACAGTTTATAATTCTTTCACACAAACACACACATAATTCTTTGAAATCATAACAAAGACAACAGGATTGACTAAATCATTACGTAGAAATACATACAGAAATGTTTAACACACTGACAAATTTATTTAACTAAAACGCGGTAACACATACAGAATAGTTTAAATTATTACGCAGAAACACGTACAGAATCGTTTGTATTATTGCGCAGAAACACGTACAGAATTGTTTAAATATTACTCAGGAACACGTACAGAATTGTTTAAATGTTACTCAGGAACACGTACAGAATTGTTTAAATGTTACTCAGGAACACGTACAGAATTGTTTAAATGTTACTCAGGAACACGTACAGAATTGTTTAAATGTTACTTTGGAACACGTACAGAATTGTTTAAATGTTACTTTGGAACACGTATAGAATTGTTTAAATATTACTCAGGAATACGTACAGAATTGTTTATATTATCAGTTTAAAATAAGTTTCTTGACCTTCTTTTAGAACTGAAATAAACGTCTTTCTAGTGAAACAGAAATATCTGAAAAGTATTTGTACTTTGTATTTTTTGTGTATGTCGTAAGTTACTGTTGTACTCACAGTTGCTTCTGAATATGAGAATCTGGTATAATATCAGTAAAAACATACATACTGAATCCGGAATAACGTCAGTAAAAAACATACATACTGAATCCGGAATAACGTCAGTAAAAAACATACATACTGAATCCGGAATAACGTCAGTAAAAATCATGCATACTGAATCTGGTATCTTTTCGGTAAAAAACATACATTTAAAAGAAACGTAGAAGTTGCACTGATCAGTAGACATAGTAGGGACTTTCTAAGAACACTTTTAAGCTAGATTTTTGTATAAGGCATACTTTCACTTAAGGATCGGGTACTAGGTACTAACAAAGTATTTTTCATTTGGAAAATGTCGTAAGATTGCCCATGTATTTCATGTCGTAAGATTGCCCCTGTATTTCATGTGCCCTTTTGGGGTTAGTAAGTTACCGATACTGGAGAATAGGGGTGTTGAAACATATCTTAATTGTTCTATCGCCTTCTCTAGGTTTGCGGCCGACCGTTAAACATCTCAGGATTTCGTTTGCAGGTCACGAACTTTGCCCTGGATGCTTTAGCCCACTCCGTTTTACGGATTGAATGTGAATGGATCAAACCTCGCAGGGTGATATGAGCAGAAACAGAAAAATATATACATAGTTTTCTTTTACTAGTTACGCGCCAAGCTTTGAAAACATTCGTCCGTTGTCAGGTTTTATGGCGAAAATTCGTCGGTCAAAACAAATTAGTCCGGCGTCCATCTACTTACTGTTGCTTCAAGGTTTCTCCCAGCCATTTTTGGTGGTTCTCTATATTGGTTTTCTTGGAATAACTCCCCTCAACGTGTAGTGCAGTTTTATATTCGCCTGCTGTACTGATGCACTTTCAAGCACTGCCTTGTGTTTACTTGGTAGATTTTAATTATCAGTACTGTGCAGAAGTGTTTTTCATAGTTTAAAACTGACAATGAACATAAATTTAACAGTTAAACCTTAGGTTAACTGATTAATGCCCTGTTTTTACAGTAGGGTTAGTAATTACGCAGTTTTTTTTTTTCCTGTAATGAAAAATATGTGGATAATTATAGAGAACCGCAACAACTCTGACGCTGTAAGTTATCTCTATCAATTGGCAACCGTATTTTCTTACAGTAAGCTATCAGAAAATAATAATATGCATATGATATTATTAAAACATTACATCAAATGAAAAAGCAACGCGATTTCTTAATTCAATCAGTTGATGAGCAAATCTTTAAAGACGTGATATCGGGACAATTCTGGTGAAAACGATGTTTATTATATCATTATCATTCTATAAGTCATTGGGAAAGGTACTTGGCAAAGTTAGGCTTCAAAAAGTAATGTTGTAAAAGGGGCATTGATCACCCTCTTCTACTAATTTGAGGGGGGGGGGGGGACAGACCGATATTCCGAAAAATGTCCACCACTAGTACCGGAGTTTGCTTTATTCTTATTGTTATTCAACTTTTTCATCCTGTTTCTATAGTAATAATAACGATATTATTGTGAGAATTTTGACATAATTTTTCAAAAGGTTAGAAAGCTTTCATTACGGGTAACAACAATATAAACCTCTGAAATTATTACAAATATACCTCAAAATGTTACCGGTTTATGTCTCTAATACAAAATTATACACATACTACTGTTCATGTAATATAAGAAACCTGAATGAACATCAGACCAACATATGTAGTTGCTTTTACGTTCAATTTTCGGAAATACAGCCATTCGGACTTAGAACCCTTCAGAATTATGACAATTCAGACTTAAAATCCTTTGGAACTATGACTCTTTGGACTTATAACCCTTCGGAACTATAACCATAAGGACTTATAACCTTTCGGAGCTATGACCATTCGGAATTATGACTCTTCGGACTTATAACCCTTCAGAGCTATGACCATTAGGACTTGTAACCCTTCAGAACTATGGTCTTCCGGATTATCGGATTGTAATCATTTTGAGTCGTAGCACACGAGCCTTTCGTTCGGTGCAAGGACACCTATGACATTAAATGACACTTTTGTTTTGGGTCTGCTTCGTACATCTTGCCACCGTCCTTCTCGCTCCGCTGAGCCCTCATTCGCGGCATTAAGGCGGTACAATTGAAACGGCTGCCAGACTCAAACCTTTCATATGATTGGTTATCCATTTAAAGTCGATCTTTGGATAGTTTACTTGAGTTCTTCTACCGAATGTAATCGACAGTAGTTCAGTCAGTTCCTCACAACAAATAGTGACAGACAGACAGACAGCTCTACTTATATATATCTCTGTGTGTGTGTACATATATATAGACTCTTAACGACATACATTATATTATCATTAGTACAGTATACACACACCTACGTCATAACTGATTGTACACAAAAACGGCGAGTGTATCATATCGTCGCTTCGGTTTTGAAAACATTCAGACCTCAGGATTCAAAGAAACTCAAGACGGGTTACTTTGTTCTAGGTTTCATTGTTTTTCTCGTACTACACAAACATTGAGAAATAATTTTCTGTACACCAGACTATATTTAAATGTTAATACAGAAACCTTAGCAGTGCATATTTAGCAAGATACGTTTTAAATTGACCCGTTTTTCACAAATAAATATAAACTTTTTTTTACTAAATACCAAACTATTAATAATACTCACATCTGAGAGCAGCCGCTAGTCGACCCTTACTGTTGACAGCATGAGCCCAGGACACATTTAATCCGTCTCCGTTAGTTTCAGGAAAATACTCTAATAAACTAGCCTGCATGGCCTGGAAAAGTTCAATATGTTTTACTCGGTAGTAACATTGCTTACGTTATTTGCAAACAATTACATGTATTTTTATAATGTATAAGTTGGATCACTTTTAACCGTTTTGCTTGAGAAATGGGAAAACTAAACTATCTATATATATAAACATAAGAACGTGTATTTTGAACAATAGTCTTTTTCTATTTTTATTTATAAAACTATACATACTTCAAACTTTCTTCGATCAGAGCGACGCACACATAATTTCTCACGAAGTGGGGTCTCGAGAGATTTAATAAATATAAAGGTTTGTTACCTGCTTATCAAATAAACAATACTTTTTTCGTGGACTACATTCCAACAGCACTTTAATAAGCAACTCACGTGCTTATTTCGAGTGACAGGACGGCAATGACGTTATAGCCAGCTGCTATAAAATGGTCCACTCACAAACAACATTCAAAGCGTTTATTTTGGGACGATCAAGCAACAGCAGCAGTTATATAGATAGAAGTGTATCCACACAATCGACACGTAGATCTGAGTAACACAGAATCTACACATGCAGCTGTTGTAAACAGAATTTAGGGCTTGAGAACAGAATCTACACTTGCAGATGTTGTAAACATAATTTAGGGCTTGAGAACAGAATCTACACTTGCAGATGTTGTAAACAGAATTTAGGGCTTGAGAACAGAATCTACACATGCAGCTGTTGTAAACAGAATTTAGGGCTTGAGAACAGAATCTACATTTGCAGATGTTGTAAACAGAATTTAGGGCTTGAGAACAGAATCTACACATGCAGATGTTGTAAATAGAATTTAGGGCTTGAGAACAGAATCTACACATGCAGATGTTGTAAACATAATTTAGGGCTTGAGAACAGAATCTACACATGCAGATGTTGTAAATAGAATTTAGAGTTTGAGAACAGAATCTACACAAACAGCTGTTGTAAACAGTATTTAGAGTTTGAGAACAGAATCTACACAAACAGCTGTTGTAAACAGAATTTAGAGTTTATGAAAAGAGTATACACAGAGCAGTTATAAACAGAGTATAGGGTTTGTGAACAGAATATACTCACGAAGCTGTAGTAAACAGAGTCTATCCATAGAGCAGTTGCGAAAAGAAGCTACACATAGAGTTGCCTCTAAAATATTAGGGTTTGTGAAAAACGTTGAGCTCTGTTTCAGATGAATGAAGGATTATTCAGAGAAACAATACACATATTAAATAGAACTAAAACTATTTTTACAGAATCGACGAACAGAACAGTGAGATTTACTGGCAGTATTTACAGATTACACGCAGTACTAACCTATGTAAAACTGGGTGTGTGTGACAGAGCAACGTTAAAAGAATTGTTTGTTTTTTTTGAAAATTTCTATGGGAAGAGTTGTGTCATCAAATTCTTGGATTTTAATAACATATTCAACACAGATGTCTGTTGTAATCGCAATTATCAGTTTACTATGATAACCTACATATAGAGTGGTGTTATGCGAAACAGGGACTTACGTGACAATTGGTGTTATACATAATTTGGTGTTCATTAACAGAATCTACACATAGAGGTTTGTTAAACAGCACTGGGAGTTTATTTATGGATGTGACAAACAGAGGAAATAGAACTAGGAACTTATTGGCAGAATATATACATAATGATGTATTATACAAAAATAGAAGTTTACGGACAGTCTTAACATAGTATCTGTTCAAAACGGAAAGTTTAGTGACAAAACATAGAACTACGTCAATGAAAAGTGCCTATGCTTTTTTATATAATTTACAAGAAGAGTGATGTTAAAGAGAATTAGGGATTTTTGACAAAACGTACACATATAACTGTGTTATACAGAATTAGAAGTTGTTGTTTTGATAGAATGTTTACGTACCCACAGTGTTTGTTTGGTTGGAAGTTCGCGCAAAGCTACATGAGGGATATCTGCGCTAGCCGTCCCTAATTTAGCAGTGAAAGACTAGAAGGAAGGCA